ACCGATCCCTGGGGGACGCCACTGTACACTTCCCTCCAGTCAGAAAAGCAGCCGTTCACCACAACTCTGCTTTCTGTCTCCCAGCCAGTTCTGGATCCATGCTGCCACTGTCCCTTTTATACCATGGGCTTATGTCAATGTCAATGCTGATGATAGGGAAAGGAATTTCTCCCAGTATCCTGGTCAACAATCCCCCAGATAAAATCAGTCATTCACATCATAGCTGTTTGTATGACACTGTCTGCACAATTATACAGACACGTTACAGTGAATGCTGTGAAGTGTTTTGAGATGTCCTGTCGTATAGTGAAAGGCGGTATATTAAATGAAAGGATTATTATTATTATTATATGTAGCTGTTTCCTGTCCTCCAGATGTGCGTTCATCTCGGCTCTTGTCCAGTGAAACCATGTGTCAACATCTGCTAGCACCAGCAGGAGGGGAGAAAGAAACTGAATGGGGAGGAAATGTAGCACATTTTCTTGAGATCTGAGGCTTGGATTCTCTTTGTTTCTTCGCTTCCACCAGCCGATTCCTCTGAGCAACATTTTGCAGCAGCTCTCAGGAGCCTGACTGTTCCGAGGCTGTTATTGTGCCAGAGCCTCGGTGTTCTGAGATCCGTAAACCCGGCACCGGTTCCCTGCTCGAAAGTGCCACCTCATGTTCGAACGTTGTATTGTACCTCTTCTCTCCATCTTGTCTTGAAAAGCTGGGCGGGCAGCTCGGACTCCAGCAAAGCCCCTGAGGTTCTGCTCAAGTGGATGTTCTCCGCATGTAAATGAGATCCATTAGAGGGTTTGCAGGAAGGGTTCGTATGAAAGGTGTGAGGAGGAAATGTAGCAAACCTGCTTACGGCCACCCCCCCACCCCCCCCGCCTCATCGGAGTCAGGCTTTGCCACTGTTAAGCGCTCTGAGATTCGACCCTGCGTGGAGGGGGATATATAAGTGCAAGTTGTTGTTGTTGGGGCCCACACAGCCGATTTGGGCGTTAAGGTGTCCACAGAGCCCACTCTTAAGAGCCCGTTCCAGGGGTTTATCAAAGCTCACTGTGGGAAGATGCAATACAGCCCATTGGGTGGGTGGGGTGGGTGGGTTTGATGGATGGGTGAGTGGCTGGGAGGGAGGGAGAGGGGTTACCACAGCCATTCTGCCATTCCTATCATCAGCAGACATCCACACACCTGCACCTTTCAACAAGAGGACAATGGGTGTCCATCACATGTAGTACATAGGTAGTTTGGGAAACATGTGCACACGATCGCCAGGAAGGTGGAAGGTGAACGAGATGGACCTAGGTCTGTTTTTTCGTCTTGGATTCCTTATGTTCTTATGATTAGGAGGGGGAACCTTGATCTTGCTCCCTTGTCCAGAGCTGAACCTTTGTATTTTACATTGTACTGACCTCACTGCTGAACATGGGCAAATCCCGATTGCTCGTTGCTGAAATGGCCACACACTGCATTTCTTTGACAGATGTTAGTCATTTTTTCCAATTAACTCTTAAGAGGAAAAAAAAAGTTGATGTCAAAAAAAACTTATTGAACAATTTGACTTTGAAATCACCCCCAAGGCAACCTGGAGACGGGAGCTTAGAACCTCACATCAGAACAGTGTTTGGGAGTGAGGAGCATTGACGTCAGGCGTATTAGTGTCAGGTTCGGTCCACACCTGCTATGTCATCTCAGAGAAAGTGTTTTAGGGGATTTAGTCTGACTGGTGCCTTATGTATTCCTGACACTGTCCGTCTCGTGAGCCTCCCGAACCAGTGCGTGACACCGCATAGTTACTGTTTGATGTGCTAGACAAGGAAACAAATCAGTCTACGCAGCACCTAATCCACTATCCGCCACATACAGATAGAGGGTGGGTGGGTGGGGGAGAAGGGTTCGGTGACTTTAATCGCGTAAGTCTCGGTCCGGTGAAGTTGGCAACAGATTAATCGCAATTTTGAGGAGAGACGTGGATGAGGTTTCCTTTAATGATTAATAATAAGCTTTGCATTTGATATAGTGCCTTATTACGTCTTCGGGATGTCTCAAAGAGCTTCACAGAATATACTGTAAAGTGAATTGACTGTGTATTTTGTGGGCAAAACGCAGCAGCCAATTGCGCACAGCAGTGTCCCACAAACAGTCGTGGATTGAAGTGACCAATTTATTATTGTTTATTTTTCTTGAGGGATTGTTATCAGGCGTGTGTGTGGAGTAAGGAAACTTGCCCAAGGTTTGGCCCTGCCGGGAATCAAAACCAGGTCTCTCGCTTGCTTGGCGAGTGCTCTGACCACTGAGCTACAGGTCTCCACGCTCGAAGTGAACTTTACAGTAAAGTCGTGGGAAGTGCTTTGAGACACTCACCCACCACTTGACATAAAAGGTGCTATAATTATTATTAATAATAATAATAATGGCCAGATCCCGAAGTCCAGGGATGACTTGTCCCCAAGCATTTTTGTTGGTCAGTGCCTTGGGACAGCTTTCTGACTTGAAAGGGGCTCTCTAAATTTGATTATGATAGCAGGAGCCCTGAATGATCAGCCAAACTGAGAGCCAGTTTCATTACCAGGAGACTATTTCACAATAAAACATAAGAATAATTTGGTCACTTCAATCCGCGACTGTTTGTGGGACGCTGCTGGGCGCAATTGGCTACCGCGTTTCGCCCACAAAATATTCAGTGAATTAACTTTACAGTATAATCTGCGAAGCGCTTTGAGACGTCTTGAAGACTTGATAAGGCCCTGTATAAAATGCAAGGGTTATTATTATTATGCATGTAATTTATTGTTGCTAGTAGTAGTATGAGGTGCAGGGTGGCAAGAGCCTAGGTTTGGGGGACCCCAGTCTGTGCACTGGGGTGAACTTCTGTTTAACCAGTAAAAAATTTATAGCTTGTCATTGAGAGCTCTGCTTGACAAGCTTCCCACTGCTTGTCTAGCTAGGTCCATGCTACCTGTTAGGGCTTTGGCTTGCAGGGTTAACAGGAGCTGAGTGGATAGAATCCTTGACCCAGGAGAATATCCTACTTGTCCCCAGGCTTTGGTCAGTGGGGCTGTGATATCAGCCACTGAGGGTTGTGCTGGAACCTCTGAGATTCTCTAGGAGAGTGAGTGACGAGCAGGAAGAGAGGAGTATTAAATATTGGGTGGATCGGAAGGAAGGGGATTGTCCAGGGCTCAATGGATCTCTGGACCTTTTCATAGAATCATAGAATATTACAGCACAGAAGGAGGCCATGTGGAGTCCTGTAGCTCAGTGGTTAGAGCACTCGCTTTGCAAACGAGAGACCTGAGTTCAATCCCCGGCAGGTCAGGGCGAAACCTTGGGCAAGTTTCCTTACTCCACACAGAGCCTAATAATAATCCCTCCAAAACCAAAAACAATAATAAATTGGTCATTTTCAACCCACGACTGTTTGTGGGACATTGCTGTGCGCAATTGGCTGCCGCGTTCGCCCACAAATATAGTCAATTCACTTTACAGTGTGTTCTGTGAAGCGCTTTGGGATGTCCTCCCGACGTGAAAAGCGCTATATCAAATGCAAGGATTATTATTATTATTCGGGCCATCGTGCCTCTTTCGGTAGAGCTACCCAATCAGTCCCACTCACCCGCTCTTTCTCCATATCCTTGAAAATGTTTCATCTCTTTCCTCTCTGTGTATCACAAAGAAAAGGCCCAGCTCCCATCACGGCTTCCATACGATAGCCAGCAACGAATCTCGACCCATCGGCGTTCCTGTGCTCTGAACCCAGCTGTGACGAGGGGAGGGTGGGTGTATGTGGAGCGATAGCAATGAGGAGCAGAATGGGTGCAAAGTATAAATAACTACTTGGAATCATCCCGTTGCCTGCAGACACAAAATATTTCAGACTCTTAATTTAATGCTGCCAGCGGTAATCGGGCAGTAAATCATGCTTAGTGCTACAACTCTCCAGGCTGGAAGCTCTTGAATATTTTATACAGACTGTCTGTCTACAGCTCCTGGATGCTAAGGAAACATGCAATCACCTGGCCTACTAAACCAGCAGGTTATTTTGGGAGAGGGAAAGGCCAGGGGTGAGGGCTTGATTGGTTCCCATCCAGCAACGTAAATGGGTTTTATTAAGAGTCTTAGTAATCCTTGCATTTGATACAGCGCTTTTTCACGTCGTCGAGATGCCCCAAAGTGCTTCACGGGATTTTACTGTAAAGTGTAGTAACTGTGTGTTTGCAAGCGAACACAGCAGCCAGACTCCCACAAACATGAAGTGAATGACCAATGTTTACCTGGGGCTGGTGGAGGACGGGGAGGGAAGGTTGTTGGTCGGAGGCCGTGCGATCTTTAACAGCCGTTGGTTTCATCTGAACGACGGCAACTCCTAACAATGCAGTGCTTCTCCAACACTGACCTGGAGTGTCAGCCTAGACCTGTGGCTTCGAGACGTTCCCTCCCAAACAGTTGCACGAGTCTAAGTCAGCCCGTGTTCAATCGGCTGTGTTTTCAGTTTTTGCTTGATTGAATATTTCCTGATTTATGGCTTGAATCAAGAAATATTCAATCAAGAAAATGTACTTTGTTTCAGTTGTTCAGTTCAACTGTTAGTGTTGGGATCATCCCTAATGCTCGTGGGATATAAACACCGGCATGGACTAACTGGGCTGAATGGCCTGTTTCAATATCCTTTTATTGAATGTACCTTTGTATCGGGACAGTTTGAGACCATGTGTCGATGTCAATGTTAATGGGGAAAAAATGGACAATTACAGGATTAGTTTTGAAATAAGCGTTTGCAGAGGGAACAACACTGGTTTAAAACAGACAGTGACACAAGTCGATGTTAGTGGCATAATCTGCACTGTTTGCTCTTTACTGGAGCTGCCAGTCAAGTGTAATGTACTGATGTCGGCTGTGATAACAGCAATCATATCATAGAATCGTACAGCACAAAAAGAGGCCATTCAGCCCATCGAGTTTGTGCCGGCTCTTTGAAAAGATTCAGTCCCGCTCTGTTCTTTCTCTAGGTGGGTCCAGGTTGCCTGCCCGAGACTTTCCATCGACTGGGGAACAGCTTTCAGCAAACCGCTGCTCACTCCATACGAGGTAGGCCACTCGCTTCAAATCCCATGTAATGTAATGCCTGTTACATAGAACGAATGATATGGCATGGAAACAAACCATTCGGCCCAACTAGACTGTGCTGGTGTTTGTACTCTACGCAAGCTCCCACCGCTCATATTCCCCTCTCCTGTATCCTTCTATTCCCTCATGTGCACTGTTTCAAGCGCTCTGGGACGCTAACCTGCATGAGGGGCACTATATAAATGCAAGTTGTTGCTATTGCTGTTGTTCTCTTTCCTATGTCCTTCATTCACTCTGCCAGTTTTGCTCTTCCTTCATCCATCCGTCTAACCACTGGTGACTAAGCTTTTAACCGCAACTACTGTGAGAGTTTATTATTAACTCTATTAATCCTTGCCTTGTGTTATTGCTGCTGTATAAGTGCAACTAGTGCTGGAACGCTCTTCGAAAATCTCTCTGGGTCACATCCTCTCTCCCTGCCATCAAAACACTCCTAAAATAGAGACTTCTTTGACCTTGGTCACCATCACTACTCCTTCCTCCCTCCTCCCTGCCTGGTGTGTTGTACCCAACAGAGCAACCGACCATCCATCAGAGGGAGAATCGATCATTAACTAATCTGGGAAAAGTAACACAATTGTAATTTGCAGCAAACAGCTGATAATGAAGATTTAGCCGTGCGCACGTGTAGAAGAAACAAAATCAAAAGATTAATTGTATCAATTATTCAGAATAAGAATTTCTGTGAGCGAGTGGAGCCGGGAGTCTAGCTTCATTAGTTATATCTACTGGTTGTCCTACATAAGAATAAAGGTCACAAAGGGAGTCCAGATGGGAGGACCATTAATCCTGTGGATTGACACCCAACACCTCAATGCACCTTGCGGTCTCCTGGACAAGGGTCAACCATTCTCCAACAGGCGCTGAGTTATGTCAGCAGCGTGCGGCAAAATAAGTCAAATAAGACCTTGCGTTTTTCTCGTGGCTTATCATCTAAACATCTAAAAGTCTCAGAGCCCTTTACAGTAATTACCGTCAAACAGCAGTAGCATTCTTATAGGCTTGAGGAGACTTTGTTTCTCTTAACAATTGTGATGGAATCCCATCCTCTTTGAAGATAATAAGAATAATCCTTGCAGTTGATATCACCCCTTATCACATCTTCAAGACGTCTCAAAGCTCTTCACGGAATAAAGTAAATATAACGCAAAGTGAATTGACTGTATAATTTGTGGGCAAAACTCCTCAGAACTGGTTGGGACATAAGACTGTGAGGATTGTAGCTTTCGGCCTCCCCTATATTGAAGGCAGAAGCCACTAGTGCTGAGAAGTGTCGAATTAATGACACAGTATGTCCCACAAATAGCCAGGAGGTGAATGTCCACTTGTTCTGATGGGTTGTTGGCCAGGATACCAGGAGAAACTGCCCTTCTCTTTTTGATTAGTGCCCCAGGATCTTTATATCCACTTAAGGCTCTGTCCTTGAATGGTTCAGATTGTACCTCTCACACCTCCTCCACTTCATCTCCACAAACGGTTTCTCCTCTAGGCCCTGCACCGTCTCGTGCGGCGTTCCTCAGGGCTGTGTCCTTGGTCCCCTCCTCTTCAACATCTATATGCTCTCTCTTGGTGACATCATCTGCAGACATGGGGTCAAGATCAACATGTATGTGGATGACACCCAACTGTACCTCTCTGCCTCCACCCTTGATTCTAGGACCACTGCTGTCCTGACAGAATGTCTGTCAGACATCAAGTCCTGGATGAGAGCTAACTTTCTTTAGTTGAACGTCAACAAGACCGAGGCTCTCCTGATTGGCTCCCGTCAGTGCCTCCTCACCTCTGGCGCTGATAGCATCACCATCCATGGTTGCACACTCCACCTTACTAAGCCAGTCCGGAGCCTTGGGGTCTTGTTTGACCCTCAACTATCCTTCCTACCCCACATCTGTGCCATGATCCACTCTGCCTTCCCCCAACTCTGAAACATCGGCCGGCTCCGACACTGTCTCATACCGCAGGCCGCCGAAACCTCATACACGCTATCATTACATCGAGGCTCAACTATGCAAACTCCCTGCTTGTCGGTCTCCCCAACTCCTCCCTCCACAGGCTGTAGATCATCCAGAACTCTGCAGCCCATGTCCTCTCCTGCACTCGGCTCCGTGACCCTATCACCCCCATCCTTGCCCAACTCCAATGCCTTCCTATCTCACACAGAGGATACAGTTCAAGGTCCTGGTCCTCACCTTCAAAGCCCTCTATGGCCTTGCTCCCCCATACCTCTGCAACCCCCTAACTGCGACCCATCCTGCTCACTACCTCCGCTCAGTGGGCTCTGGCCTGCTTCACGTCCCCCGCCTCGCTCGCCCCACTATTGGCAGGTGGGCCATCTGCCACTCTGCCCCCACCCTTTGGAACTCCATCCCACAGTCCCTCCGCCTCACCCCCTCCCTCGCGTCCTTCAAGACCCATCTCAAGACCCTCCTCTTCGACCGTGCTTTCGATATCCCTGCTTCCCCCCCTGCCCTCCACGCTCCCCGATTCCCCAGCTCGGGTCCAAAGCTCTGTCCAGCGCCTTGGGACGTCCTCCTGACGTGAAAGGCTCTGTACAAATGTAATTTTGTTGTTGTTGTTGTTCCCGGCTGCAATAATTATTATTATTATTTATGTTTAGGCATCTGTAGCTCTCAAGGAGGTTGAGTGGCAGCAGCAGTACCCAATGGACTTTTACTCCAACCAGTCGCTCGGACCATGGACTGTCAACCATGTCACCCACCAACCAGTGAGAAGTGCAAGGAAAGCCCGGGTGAGTTGAAGGATTGAAATTCGTGATGTTTCATTTGTATGTTTGAATTCTATGTTGTATTGGTACGTAAGCACAGCAGTCTCTTCGGTTTGAATTTTTCCACAAGATTTTATGTAACGCCAATAATAATAATAACAATAATAATTCTTGCATTTGATGTAGCGCCTTATCACGTCTTCGAGACGTCTCAACGCGCTTCACAGAATACACTGCCATGTGAAGCGATTCAATATTTTGTGGCCGAAATGTTAGCAGTAATGTACGTTTAAACAGCCTCAAAGTCTTTGCACAGTTGACTGGGAGCCCGAGCTGAGGGTGAAGGAGCTGAGGAGGGTGGGGAGGAGGGGAAAGGTGACCGAAAGAGCAGTTGAAAAAAGAGAGCTTAAGTTGCGGAGAGGGTGGGAGGGGAGGATAGGTGTGCAAATGGGTAATTGGCCTTTGGACAACTGGTGATGAGCTCGGAACCAGTTTGTATGCACCTGCATCTGTGGCCGACTGTAGAGCAACAATCAGTTGCAGCAACAATAGGGGGGAGTGACTGAAAGGCACCAGATAATTGCAAATTTGTTGCTCCTTTCACCTTTACCGTCATAAGCCGAGCGAGCTGAGGCCTATAGAAACCCTGTGTCTTATCACGTCTTCTAGACGTCTCAAAGCGCTTCACAGAATATGATGCATATCAAATTAACTGTCCTGCAGTGTATTGGTTAGGGTACTCGCTCGCAAGTGAGGGGACCCAGGTTCACTAACACTTCACCATAAAGCTTTGTGAAGCGTTTCGAGATGTCTCGAAGATGTATTGAGGCTCGATATCAAATGCAAGGATTATTATTTATTATAGTCACAAGCGAACTGAATGTAACATCAACCTAAATTCCCTGATGACGCAGTCTCCATCCACTGGAGCCAAAACCAGGGGGATGTGTAGCAGGATCTCGCGAGGCACCCATTAAAGGCATCACATTATCCTTTGCTGGTGTGAACATCATTAATCATTGTTACTGTAACGACGCTGAAGATTAATGAGCAAAGCCCAAAGAACAAAATCAACATTTAACAATCTGATATTTTATTTTAAGTCTTAATGTGATTTAAATTCACAACATGAAACTCAAAACACTTTTGAACTGTGCTGCACCGCGCGCACACGCGCGCACACATGCATGTTCCCGGTTTCCTGGTAGCATTTCGTTAACAGAACACTGCATCAGCTTATTAGCTCTTGAAATAATCAGCACGCTTTAAAATAGAAAAGGATCTGAGAGGACAAACGCGATCGACTAGTTTCTGTTTACTTCCCCCTCCCCCCAGCTTCTCTTCTTTCATCCGAGAGCCTTGTGCCAGGGTCTCCGTGGGAAATGAAACACATCCCTACCCTTTGCCCCCACCTAGAAGCACCTCGTCGAAGAAATGTAGCTTCAAATCCCCTTCACTTTGCCCCCCATTAAATGCGCATTAGCCCCAAGCTCACCGGTGCACCCTGACAGCAAAGGCATATTTTCACTCCAGCTGCTTGTCTGGCCTCTGTGTCAGCCAATTCGAGAGAGACCCGGAGAGCTGTTTGGCAAATTAATTCAATTGAGCAGAATGTGAGAAATGATGGGATTTATTTATTACTTTTTAAATGTGGGGTTTTCAAAAGAAACACATTTTAAAAGTAAGTAGGAACCCGGTTGTAAATCGATTGGCGGATCGCTTTCTGGAGGTCATAATCCCTCTCCCTCACCCAAAAAAAAAGAATATTACTAATATTTTGGTTGCGACATCCACGATGTTTGTGGGACGCTGCTGTGCGCAATTAACTCCTGCTTTTCACTCACAAAATATAAAGTCAATTCACTTGACAGTATATTCTGTGAAGCGTTTTGAGACGTCTCAACAAGGTGATAAGGCGCTGTATCAAATGCAAGGATTATTATTATTATTTTCTAGTCCTATCTATACTTAGTTTCCTGTTTGATGGGACAGATTATAAGAATGTAGGAAGTATGGAACAAGTAGAAACCATTGAGCCCAGATATTGCACATTTCACGTTTGGGAGAATGCCTCAAAGCACTTCACAGCATTTATTGTAACAAGTCCTGACTATATTTTTCAGGCAAACCCAGCAGCCAATTTTCGCACAGCAATTTCCCACCAACAGCCATGAAGTCAGTGACTAATTTTATCCAGTGGGTTGTTGGCCAGGACACCAAGAAAAACTCTTCTCTTTTTGAATGCTGCCACGGGATAGTTCTTTAAGGTCCACCTGAATAGGCAGATGGAAACTCAGTTTATTGTCTCGTCTGAAGGACAATTCGGCCCATCCGACAATGCAGCACTCCCCCAGCACTGCATTGGAAAGTCAGCTTAGACTATGTGAGTTCAAGGTCCCACGGTGGGGCTTGAACCCACAACCCCTAACTCAGAAGCGCCTACCATCTGGCCAAGCTGACACCTTTATGCGCTTAGCCATCATGCAAGTGGTTGTCCCCTACTATCCAACTTATAACGAAGAGCAGATGGTGCTCACCGGCTTTACTCCCAATGTCATGCCCCCACGGTTGGAGCGGGGGATCTGTGTCAGAGATACCTGGCATCAGGTGTGGAGGTGGGACAGGTGAGGGATAGCTCCTGACACAGGCACGCCGGTGGAATTCCTGGCACCCATAACAGCCTCAGTGTGAGTCTGGATCCGGCAGCTGCTCTTGTTTGTGTAGCTTCCAGCGTTTAATCGGTTCAGTACTAAAACATACAGAAATAATATGGTAGTGATGATCCCGAAGACAAGCTTAGTTATTTCTGTAACTTCTCATCTGCACATGAGCACTTTCCAGCAGTGAGAGCAATCAAGATCGGGGACTGGCCTGATGGATCTCTCCTGCCTAGCTCAGGGACACTGAGGACAGTGATTGAGTGCAAGACACTCTGTGCAGTTCACAGATCCACTGAACAATCGGGGGAATAATGACACTCCTTGCATTTGATGCAGCACCTTTCACGTTGGGAGGAGGGTCTCTAAGTGCTTCAGAGGATATACTGTACCTGTAATGACTGTGTATTTTGTATCAAAATAATATTTATAATAATAATCATTGCATGTGATATAATACCCTCATCACATTGAATCATCGCAAAGCGCTTCACGGTAATTACTGTTCAGTTTAGTGACCATGTGTTTTGTAAGGAAACGTGGAGTCCTGTAGCTTAGTGGTTAGAGCACTTGTCTCGCAAGCGAGAGGAACCAGGTTCGATTCCCGGGTGGGACGAAACCTTGGGCAAGTTTCTTTACTCCACACACCTCTGTTTACCTAGCAGGAAGTAGGAACCCGGTCGTTAGTCAATTGTCGGATCACTTTTCCACGGATAATAAACCTTCCAAAAAAATATATATTGATAATTTGGTCACTCAATCCACGACTGTTTGTGGGACGCTGCTGTGCGCAGTTAGCTGCTGTGTTTCACCCACAAAACACACTTTACAATATATTCTGCGAAGGGCTTTGAGACATCTCGAAAGCATGATAAGGCGCTATAATAAATGCAAGGATTATTATTATTATAGGAAGTGAGGCAGCCAGCTTGTGCACAGCAGTGTCCCACCAGCAGCCACGAGGTGAATGACCAATCTATCTGGAGCTATGGCTGGTCAGATTTACCCACGGTTGGAGATACACTTATAGGAATATGCAGGTGAGGCTCGGACTAGCAAAGCCTTTGTGTGGTAGTAGCTGACCATCGTTAATTCAGTACATTGTACATAATGTTAATTTACTGTAATGAGGTCTCGATTTTTTTTAGCACCAACTGATAGATGAATTGTGGTCCAGCAACTTTTGAACTGTTTCCAAACACGGGGATCAATAAAGCCTTTGTTGAAATGTTTCACTTCACACTCGTGATTAGACGGAATTGAATGTCTCTTAACTGCAGCTCTTAGATTTTACAACATATGATGTAAAGAGCACGATTCAGAGCAATCAATACACTTCAGCTGTTGAGGAGCCAGCATTTAGGCTGCCTATGACTCAGGGCAGGGTGTATCGTAACACAAGGAAATACTTAGCAACATGCTTGATCAAGAGGAGGGCGGGAGGAACGAGAATGAGAGAGGGAGGAGTGGACTCTGTAGTAGCATAGGAACAGGAGGAGGCCATTCAGCCTCTCAAGCCTGTTCCACCATTCTATTAAGGTCATGGCTGATCTGTACCTCAACTCCAATTACCCATCTTTTGATCCCCTGACCTGACAAAGATCTACCCATCTCAGTCTTGAAAATGTGAATGGATCCAGCAGCTTCCACAGCATTTCTGGGGAGAGAGAGTTCCAGATTTCCACTATCCTTTGTGTGAAAAATGCTTCCAACCTTTGTGCCTGCTGGTCATTGGGGAGGACAGATTTGCAGGGCTATGTGGAGAGAGTGGGGGAGTGGGATTCTATAGCTCTTTTAAAGAGCTGGCACGGACGCGATGGGCCGACTGGCCTCCCTCTGTGCTGTATAATTCTATGACTCGATGATTTATCGGTAGTTCCTAACTGATCTGAAGGAAGTGTCACTTAACAAAGAGAGCCTCAATTTACTGCGCAAAATATTGTGTCTGCTCCACTGGAGAATTTGACATTTCAAGAAAAGTTGATATGACTTTGACTTTTGTAAACACCTGGTCTTTATTCCACATCACGGTGAAGAATCGGATGTCTCCAAAATTTCCCCTAATCTTCATCTGTAGTTCAGTTTGCCTCAATCAACACCAAAATGTGGAAAATTCTTAAATTCGGCATTAATTTGGAAACTGGTTCTTAAAAAAAAGGAAAATAGCCTTCAGGCTGAGACTAGGTAGATCCCGGTGTCCTGACCAACAATCTCCCAAATAAAATCCATCATTCACTTGATAGCTGTCTGTGGGGACATTGCTGTGTGCAAATTGGCTGCCAGGTCCTACAAAATACACAGTCACTACGCTTCCCAGTAAATCCTGCAAAGCGCTTTGAGACCTCCCGATGTGAAAGGCACTGGATCAGTGTAAGGATAATTCATATTATTTATTTGTTATCCAATTATTTGTTTTTGGTTTCAATCACCCCTCGTTACTGAGGCGGTGCTCACGTTCAGATGTAATACTAATAATCCTTACATTTGGTTTCATGCCTTTCAAGAAAGGTGGACGTCCCAAAGTGATTCACAGGATACTGCACTGTAAGGTGCAGTAACTGTGTTTTGTGGGCGAAACACAGCAGCTAATTAATGTCTCAGAAACCGCAATGAAGTGAATGACCAATTTTATTTTGGGAATTGTTGGCCAGGACACCTGAATAAACTCACTTCTCTTTTCGAATCGTGTCATGGATTTTTCCATGTCCACCTGTACAGGAGACAGGACCTTGGTTTAACATTTCATTGGAAATACAATACACCTCAACCACACCAGGCTCCCCAAGCCCCAGAGGATAAGAGTTCAAAGTCCTGGTCCTCGCCTTCAAGGCCTTCCACGGCCTTGCCCCTCTCTACCTCTGCAACCTGCTGACCCTATATCAACCTGTCCGCTCCCTCCGCTCAACAGGCTGTGGCCTGCTCCACGTCCCCGCCTGGCCCGTCCCGCCCCACCATCAGCGGTTGGGCCTTCAGCCTCTGCCCCCACCCTCTGGAACTCCAATCCACATTCCCTTTGCCTCGCTCCCACTCCCTTGCCTCCTTCAAGGTACATCTCGAAACCCTCCTCTTTGACCGAGCCTTCGGCCACACTCCCTGCCCTCCACCCTCCCCGATCCCGGCCCCCAGCTCGAGTCCAAATCCCTGACTATCCAGCGCCTTGGGACGTCCTCCCAACATGAATGTAATTTGTACTAGAGTAGATGAGCTCTAAGTCCCAATGTCAGGCCTCAGCCCACAAACTCTGACTCAGAGGTGAAAGTGCTACCAAAATGAATCAGTTCAGGCTGACACACAGAAGGTTCAATTTTTTTCAATTGCCTCGATGATCAGGAGAGTGAATATCATGCAGATATCTCCTACCCTGTAGGGGGGTGGTGGGGGGTGCGTTGGGGGCTGACAGATTTGTGAGTCGTCCTGACCTCTCTTTCCCCCTCAGCCCCCACATCTCTCTCTCACTGGCAAGAGCAGAGATGCAAGTCTGTGTGGACAGGTCGATAGTTTTCATTGAAAACAATCACATTAAACAATAGGTTACTGATGGTGTCTGAGCACATTCTCACCAGATTGGCGTCAAGCCTCGAGTGGGCAGCAATTCAAAGACAAGCCCAAGTCCTTCACTGTAATAACACCGACCGCACTTGCCATCAGCAGAGGCAGAGAGAATGAAAACACAATCTGCAGGGAGATATAAATGCCTTTGGTCAGTGTTCAGTAATTAGAGGGCACGGGTTTCAAATCACTACCAACAGAAAAAGGGAAGGGAATTGTTTAGATTAGTCCTGGAACCACCAAACTAAAATCGCTGTTTGAAGCAGAATCAATAACAGCTTTTAAAAGGGGAATCCATAGAAATTTCTGCAGCACAGACCAAGGCCTTGCTGGGATCAGGGAGGGTGTAGGGCAGGAAGGATGGGAGTAGGAGGATGGCCGAAGGCGAGGTCGAAGAGGAAGGTCCTGTAGCTCAGTGGTTAGAGCACTCGCTTTGCAAGTGAGAGACCTGAGTTCAATTCCAGGCAGAGGGCGAAACCTTGGGCAAGTTTCCTTACTCCACACAGAGCCTAATAATAATCCCTCCAATACCAAAAACAATAATAAATTGGTCATTTTCAATCTACGACTGTTTGTGGGACATTGCTGTGCGCAATTGGCTGCCGCGTTCGCCCACAAATATACAGTCAATTCATTTTACAGTGTGTTCTGTGAAGCGCTTTGGGACGTCCTCCTGACGTGAAAAGCGCTATATCAAATGCAAGGATTATTATTATTATTATTATAAGGTCTTGAGACATGCCTTGAAGGAGGCAAGGGAGGGATAGAGCGAAGGGTCTGTGGGACGGAGTTCCAGAGTGTGGGGGCAGAGAGGCTGAAAACATCAAACATCCCATTTCAGGTCCTGCAAGAATCTTCTTCTGTTTTCTATTTGGCTCCACAACAAGCCAGTGGATCATAGAGTAACCTGATTGGGGGGGGTGGGGAGGGAGGAGGAGAAGAGGAACAGCAGGTACCATGGATTCCCACCGCCTTCCCCCCCACACCCCCAATGTGTGAGGGTTCACGTTGCAGATTATCAATGTAGATTTACAAACGATCAAAGCACAAGGTTCCAGTGGATTTCTATGGCATGAGGAGAGCCAGAGCACCATACATAGTGCCTCCTCTCTCTCTCTCTCTCTGTCCCTCCTTTCTCTCTCCCATCTCCTTCTTTCTCTCCCATTTTTTTCTCTCTCTCTCTCTCTCCCTATCTCCTTCTTTCTCTCCCATCTTTCTCTCTTTCTCCTCTATCTCCGTCTTTCTCTTCCATCTTTTTCTCTCTCTCCTCTGTCTCCTTCTTTCTCTCCCATCTTTCTCTCTTTCTCCTCGATCTCCTTCTTTCTCTCCCATCTTTCTCTCTCTCTCCTCTATCTCCTTCTTTCTCTTCCATCTTTCGCTCTGTTTCCTCTATCTCCTTCTTTCTCTCCCACCTCTCTCTCTCCTCTATCTCCTTCTTTCTCTCCCATCTTTCTCGCTCCAAACTCCTGTCTTATTACCCTTTCTTTCCTCTTCTTCTCTCTACTCTCTCTCTCTTTTCTTTCCCTCTCCTCTCTCTCTCTCACTCCACCACCTCTCTCTCCCTCTCTCTCCCCCCGCCTTTCGCTCTCTCCCTCCCCCAATTCTCTCCCTCTCACCCACTTCTCTCTCTCTCTGTCTCTCTCTCTCTTTCTCCTTGCTTCTCACTTCTTCCCTTTCCCAATCAGATCACCAGTTCCCTCACCATTTCGGTGCCCTCACTGAATGTTCCTGTAAAATGCCTGAGGCTCGCTCGGTGCTTGCGGGAACGCAAAGAGGGGAAAATGCAGCCTCTTTAACCAGATGTTTACTTTTAGGAACAAAAACCCGCAGTGTATTCCTAAAACTGCAAAGGAAATCGGGCTGCGTGAGGAGAAAGGGTTCAGATCGGGGGAAGGGGATCAGATACATGTCACAGCAGATACACTGACCAAGCCCGTGAGAAGACAAAGACAGAGACAAATCTATACTGTGTAGTTTTCCTGGTGATTTCCTTTTGAGGTGTCAGCCTGGCTCAGCCGCGTCTCATCTATCAGTCGGAAGGTTGTGGGTTTAAGTCTCCCATCGGGTCTTTGATCTCATATAATCCTGGCTGGCATTCCAGTGCCGTTTTGGGGGCGGCGGTGAGGTGCCATCAGGTGAGATGTTAAACCGATGTCTGCCCGTTTCGTGGACGTAAACGATTTTGTGGTACTATTCGAAAGAGAAGGAAGTTTCTCTCCCCCTGGCCAAAATCCCCCCAACATCAAATAAAATTGGTCGTTCACTCCATTAGACGTTTGTGGGGCCTTTGCTGTGCACAAAATTAGCTGCACGTTCGCCTACAACATATACAGACATTCTGCCTCCCCAAAACCATGCGAAGCGCTTGGAGACACCCTCCTGACATGAAAGGCGTTATATCAAATGAAGGGATTATTAATTAGTACAACACCGTATTATTTTTGTTCTGACTGTTAAGTTTTTCTTCCCATCTCGCAGCTGTTGAGTGGGAGAAATTTCTGCATCCCCGATTAATTCTGTTCCGAGGTGATATTTGTTTTGTTGCCTGTTATAAAATAAAAATAAATTCCTCCCCCCCCCCCCCGAAAAAAATCTACGGCAAAGCCTCGCAATAAGTCACTGTAAACCCCACCCCCACCAACCCCCAGCCTGCACTGCCACGGAACAGGTCAGCCATCGCCACCTACAGGCCACAGTCAGAATTTCGAGCAGCAGAACCCAGAGGAATTGAACCTGTTCTTAATCCACGTCTATGGAAACCGACTGCAGATTCCCTTGTCCCATGCCGCTGGGTGCTATTGTGAAGCCCAGAGAACCAGTTTCCCGGGAGGTACTTACAAATACACGCGCGCGCTCCTGTTTTCGTGCTGTTTGCACGCCTCAGGTGTTAATAATAATAATAATAATCCTTGCATTTGATATAGCGCTTTTCACGTCCTCTAGACGTCTCAAAGCGCTTCACAGTTGTGGTTTGCCTCGCGTGGTTGTTGTTTACCTAGCAGTAAGTGGTTAGTCGATTGTCGGATCGCTTTTCCGGTGGTAATAATCCCTTCCAAAGAAAAAATCATAATGATTTGGTGACTCGCTCACTCCACAACTGTGCATGGGACGCTGCTGTGCGCAATTGGCTGCTGCGTTTCGCCCTCAAAGTATGCAGTCGATTCACTTTACAGTGTATGCTGTGATGCGCTTTGAGACGTCTCGAAGACATGATGAGGTGCTGTATCAAATGCGAGGATTATTATTATTATTATCATTATTATTATTATTATGAAACTAATCTTGTGGATGTGACTTTGTTCCCGGCGCAGAACGCAGCAGCGAGACAGACGCTGCCCCCAGCAAGCTCGGAACAGAGTGGGTGCGGAGACTGCAGCTGCCAGCAGGAGATTTCAGTCAAGGACCGAAGTACAGATCAGCCCCCCACTCCAGCACAGTGAGGACACAGCCAGAGCAGGACCACCTGCTCCACCCACCCTGCGTTCAGCAACGTTCATCCACCGAACCACGCGGTGAGGAGGAGCAAATCCTAATCTGAGCCACGTGCCACAGAACAAGGGGAACTGGAAATCCACGAGCAGAGACGGTGTTACAGTGAGTGTCTCTTGCAAGGCCCCTCAGTTCTGGGTCAGCCTTTTTGGCTCGAGTCACGTTGAACCCCGTTCCTTTCTGAGAACAGCAACAGAAGCCTGTTAGGCTGACCGTGTGGGTGGGGAGCCTAGCAATGGGCTCACATCATCATTCTTTTACTGCCGAAGCAGCGAGACCCAAGGGATGGATATCTGGGTAGCTGGAGATGTTGATATGATCGCCTTTGCACCCAACCATAAAGTGGAAGTTAATAGGATTCATTTTGACAGCCTTTTAATTTGTCACCGTGAGTCTACCCTTATTTTTTTTCTTTGTGTGTCGGGTTGGTAAGTGCTAACACTCTTGCCTGGAAGTCAGAAGGTTATGGGTTCAAATCCCACATCAGGACTTGAACGACCATAAGTCTAAGATGATGCTCCAGTAGCCCTGGTGGGGGATTGGGGGGGCTTTGCATTGTCGGAGGTGTCGTCTTTTGGATGAGACATTAAAACTGAGGTCCGGTGGATGTCAAAGGCACTATTCGAAAAGAGCAGGGAGTTTGGTCACTCACTCCACGGCTGTTTGCTGTGCGTAATTGATTGCCGCGTTTTGCCCTCAAAATACAGTCAATCCACTTTATTGCATATTCTGTGAAGCGCTTTGAGATGTCTCAAAGACATGATAAGGCAAGGATTATCAAATACAAGGATTATTATTATTATCTTGGGGGTGAGCTGGTCAGAATGATCCGGGAGCTCGCCGTGGGCCCTACTCTCGCTCTCTATCAATGGGCTGACAGGTGGAAGCGAGAGAAACTTTGCAAGGAAATTAAAAAATGAGAGAGAAGTAATAAATTAAATGTCAGGCCCCTGAATGCTCCCTTTCAAATCAGAAAGGAATTAAAGTGAAGGTCTCAATCACACTTCAATTATATTGCCTGATTCTGCACAAACTCGACCTCCTCAATCTAAGATGTCAGTAAAAAGGCTTTCAGCAGGATCACAAAGTACTTCCAGTGAAGCTATCTGAAACAAAACACTTGTAGGTGCTGATAATATTTCACCGGAGTAATTCTTTCCAGTGACACTGTTCAGATTACCTGCAGTAAACTTTGTCCACTGTGCCTACGCTAGTGTGTGACAGTCCATGTTTGGTATGTGTCCCTCGCTCAAATATATGTACACATTAACATATACACACTCACACATGCACTAACGTACACTCAAATAACAGTACAAATGCATATATATAATCCATACTAATAAAACAACAATGTCTATCTGCGCTTCAAGAAGGATCTCAATAATCGATTGACGCAGAAGCACGATTTAAATCTCATCGGAAAGGTCTTGCATCTGGGAGTGACATGGGCACATTTGTTTTTGGGTATCTCCTATCGTTTATGAGTTATTCCAGTTTTACGTTTTTCGCTGCAGTTACACCTGGTGGCCTCTGAGTCAAAGGGGTACTGTGGCATTCTGCGTCGCAGAACATGCACGTCGTCAAGCGGCGGGAACAAAATAAAGGACACAGACGAAGTTAAGCCGTGACAACAACAACAAAATTACATTTTTAAAGCCCCCCTTTCATGTCGGCAGGACGTCCTCAGTGATGATAAATTATACATTTATATTTATCATTGTTAAGATGCCTAAGCGAAAATCAAACCTTTCAAGGATAAGTAAAAATGCTAGACCAAAGAGAGAAGGCCCATTAAATGAAACTGAAGAATAAAGTCCTCCCACAGGAGTCTTCTCAGATGATGATAGATAAAGATGAAATGTCGGTCTGTGTGTCTGTCTGTGTCTCAATCTACATTCCATATTGGATCCTTTGGTTGCAAGCGAAGCTGCAATGGGTACAACTAGTATATGATAATGGAGTCCTCTAGCTATATGATTGTGGAGTCCTGTAGCTCAGTGATTAGAGCACTCGCTTTGCAAGTGAAAGACCTGAGTTCAATTCCAGGCAGAGGGCGAAAACTTGGGCAAGTTTCCTTACTCTACACAGAGCCTAATAATAATCCCTACAAAAACAAAAAACAATAATTAAATTGGTCATTTTCAATCTACGACTGTTTGTGGGACATTGCTGTGCGCAATTGGCTGCCGCGTTCGCCCACAAATATACAGTCAATTCACTTTACAGTGTGTTCTGTGAAGCGCTTTGGGACGTCCTCCCGACGTGAAAAGCGCTATATCAAATGCAAGGATTATTATTATTATTATTATAATCCTTGGATTCGATATACAACAATAACTTGCATTTATATAGCACTGGGTGCGTCCCAGAGCGCTTGACAGTGGCAGAGCACAACGCCGAGCTGGGAGGAGGAAGGTCTTCAGGCGTGACCTGAAAATGGGGAAGGAAGGGGCAAAGTGGAGGGATAGGGGAACAGTACTCCAGGGTTTTGGGCGAAGTGGCTGAAACTGCGGCTACCAATGGTGGAACAGGGAGCACAGGGGACATGCAGAAGACCGGAGCTCGTTGAGCGGAGGCAGTGGGTTATGGGTTATGGGTTGGGGGGTAAGCGGGTTGGAGAGGTAGGGAGGTGCCAGGGCATGAAGTGATTTGAAAACGAGTGTGAGGATCTTGAAATAAACCCGTTCGGTGATGGAGAGCCAGTGGAGCTTGGCTAGAACTGGTGTGATGGGAGTATAGAGTTTATTACGGGTGAATATGCAGGCAGCGGAGTTTTGGATCAACTCCTGTGCATGCTGGAACTGGGGAGACGGGCAAAGAGGGCATTTGAGAAGTAAGGTCAGGAGGTGGCGAGTGTTTCGGGGTAAGGTACAGTTGAAGGCGGGCAATGTGGCGGAGGTGGACGGAAGGCGATACTCGTCAGGGACCGGATGTGGGGAAGAAAGGACAGCTGTGGGTCGAACCTGACGCCTAGGTTGCGCACTGAGGGATACGCTGGGTAGGTTGAGGAGGTCAGAGCCGCAGAATAGAAGATGTTTAAGCAGGATATAGCGCCTTATCAAGTCTTTGAGACGTCTCAAGGCGCTTCACAGCGCTACTGTGAAGTGTAGTGACTGTATATTTTTGTGGGCGTAACGCGCAGTCAATTGCGCACAGCAGTGTCCCACAAACAGTCGTGGATTGAGTGACCATGTTGTTATTGTTACTATTTATGTATTAATTTTTGAAGGGATTATTACCCTCGGAAAACCGATCCGCCAATCAAATAACAACATGTTTCTACTTATTGCTGGCTAAACAGATGCGTGTGTAGGAAGGAAACTGCCCAACATTTTGCCCCGCCCGGGAATCGAACCCAGGTCCTCTCACTTGTGAAGCTATTGCTCTACAACAACAATTTGCATTTATATAACGTCCTTCTAACCACTGCACTACAGGAATCCACACACTTATACCTAGGTGCACATACTCACACATGTGTACACACACACACAACACGGTATGTACATACTTTCTTAAAACTTATGTTGGCACATACTCTCACACATGTGTACATAAATCACAAACACTTTGAGAATCAGGATGTGGCTGTCAGGATATATCTTTACCCAGAATAATTGTATCGCACTGTGGAAATGCAGTGGGGGCAGATTTGTTCAGAAAACCCTGCCTGCACAGAGGGGAGTAAGGATTGTGCCTGTACAGGTGGGAATACACCTATACAGAGGAGACTACACCTGAGCAGAGGTGACTATACTTATACAGAGGTGATCTTACCTGTACAAAGGAAAATACAGAGATACGTGAGAACCACACCTGTACAGAAGGTCAGTCCATCTCCCCAGAAGAGAACCATTCTTGTTCATCAGAACGTCAATGTGAAGCAGCAACAGCAAATTAAATCATTTGTTCATCAGTTAGGATGAGAATGTGCTTTGAGAGACCAGTTGCCATTTAAAGAGCTACCGAGTACAGACAGATCGAATCAAACTCTCTTCATATTTTCTGTTTCTGAACTCCTTGGTACTGGAACATATTCAGATTAGCTGCCACTTAACATTGAGCAGTCTGACAGTGATGTTGACAGCCTCTGTCAACACTACACCAGAAAGCCAATAACAATTTCCCTGTATCTACAGTTTCTTGTCCATGTGAATTTAGAGAGTGTGCGCTATTTTATTTTTTTGCTGGTGCAAATTTTTGGGTGCCGAAGCCTTTTTCCCCATTTTCCGTAAAGATAAAAGGATTTCTTTGAAATTCCGTCAAGCTGTCAATTTAACTCGAGAGGTTCGCTGGGAGGGAAAACAAAGGAGTATCGATAAAATAAAAGCCATCTTCTTCGAGGATTTCCAAACGGTGCTGTTGCAGTTACTGGCGAGATCAGTGACTTGTCTGTGGAGGGTGTGAGATTGCTGTGAGTTGGTATTAAATAATGAATGAGTGCTTGGAGTCTCAGAAGCAGTTCTGCATTAATCTATGTAAAGACTGTGGCTGTATTTGCCGCATGGAAAAATAGCCCTGGTTAAAAAGATAGAGAGAGAAATGTAGAAGTGAACACTGGAAGAGAGAGAGAGCTTGTCAGATGGTGGGAGATGCCAGGACAGTAGCAACGTCTAACTTTCATTTACCCTTTGGAACTCCATCCCACATTCCCTTTGCCTCGCTCCCACCCTTGCCTCCTTCAAGGCACATCTCAAGACCCTCCTCTTCGACCTTCGGCCAAACTCCTACCCCTACTCTCCCTGCCCTCCAACCCCTCCTGATCCCAACCCCAGGTCGGGTCCCAACCCCTGACTGTCCAGTGCCTTGGGACGTCCTCCCTTACGTGAAAGCCGCCATGTTGTAAATGGGTGATGCTGCAATGGGAGGATGTGATGTAGAGGCAGGTTTTTGTTGCCCAGCAGGTCACCCGTGGCACACAACGTGATGGCATCGGCAGGCATTGGGGAGAGACGGTAGGCTGCGCAGTTTGGCGCAGGGAACGCTTGCAAAAAATTGGGAGGGGAGAAGGAGGGAGGGGAGGAAATAGCAATCGGCAACCTCACCTGCTGAGAGACTTTGTTGCTGTGAAACATGCTAACTTGATTAAAAAGCCAAAGCGAAAATTGTGAATTGATAGAGAGCAACAGAAAGCGCGGACCTCTGTGACTTTTTTTTCTGTTTAATAATGTGGAGAGAATAACTGTTGGGGTTCAGTCTCTCGCCACTATTAAACAGAAACCCGTTTTTTTTTGGGAGGGAAAAAGATCTTCCTTGATTTATAACCACGGCTTGTTATTGAAAACTCGAGGATTCGCGGACATTCAGCGTGTGTTTCTTTTTAAAATATAAGGCAATATCGCTTGCGGAGAGAGA